TCCTTGGTCGTCCTGCTCCGGAGTCTGGGCTGCGGCATGAATACATACTGGTCTTTCTTTGTATCCCGCACAAAGCTTTGTAATTTCCTTCTTACATGCCCACACATATTTGTTTGAATTAATTCTTGCCAGATTTTATTTGTCATTGCTATATGTTTCCTGTGATGCTTTCTAACTGAATTCTGGCAAAGCTATCGATTGTTATCATTGTGGTGTTTATTTCAAGAACATCCAATTTTGGAATACGGCAAACTCCTGGTTTATGAACACATGCTACTCCAGGAAAATGCTTGTGAGTTAGATTCTTTCGTAAGTCTGACAAAGTGAGTCTCACACACCTGGACATAAATACACAGTGCAGGTTGCCTTGCGCTTCCCAGCATCCCCTCCACACCAGCACTGCTTTTCCCCTTGTTTCCAGACACTCAGGCCCTGAGCACTGTGCTCCTGCACACCATCGCCCTGTACAGTACACACACAGCAGCACCACTGTGGCAACGTCTGGCAGACAAGTGAGCTGCTTCCACAATACATTCACACTCACAAATATTCGCACTGCAAGATTCCTTGATATCTGTGGAAGTTCCCAACCCAGCAATTTATGGTACTCTTACTACTATGGCAGTTCTGCCAACTTTAGTTTTTTAGAAAAGTACAAGTCATTTTAAAATACTGATGGTTTTCATCTGTTCTCTTGTGTTGTTGTAATGCTCATGGCGTTGTCTAAAATATGCTCACCACCAGTCACATACGGCTACGTACACTTAGGTCGATAAAATGAAATTAAAAACTGAATTTTTCAATCACACTAGCCATGTATGAAGTGCTCAACAGCCACCCGTGACTTGTGGCTACCTTATTCACTCGCGTTCTAGAACATTTCCGTTCTAGAACATTTCCGTTCTAGAACATTTCCATCATCTGGAAGTTCTTTTGGATAGCGATGCTACAACTTCAGATCAGTATACTGTTAAGAGTTGAGAAATGGATTGTCCTGATGTTTTCTTTCTAATTTTAAATAGTGATGTATTAGAATAATGTGGAGTTTTCAGCCACATTATTACAGCCAAATATCAAAACATATTTATATTATGTTAAAGAAGTCTTATCCTTTTCTTACTTTCTAAAACTACTTACACTTTTGGAACAGGCAATGAATTTTAATATACCTTCTTGACATCAGTAAGCTTTGGTATGTGAGAGGCAAACTCCTACCCATTATTAAAAATTGTTTTAGATATCTTGTTTCCTTTTAAATGCACTGCTGAATTATGTTTGCCTATATTTTACTTAGATGTTTGTCATTAGTGAGCTTAATCTCAAGTATTTTCTACTTCTAGTACTCTTGTCTTTTTTTAAAAAAATCAAGATTATATTATTATCACAAAATAAAATAGAAAACCTTTTCTTTTTTTTTTTTTTCTGAACAAAGATGTGCAGAAATATGTATCAGTTTTGGGTAATTTGTCCTCTAAAATTTGGTAAATCTTGGGTGAAAAAAAAATCTGGGTTTGGAGCTTTGGTCACATAGAAAGATCCTGTCTCAAAAAACAAAACAAAAGAAAACCAAAAAGGAAGTTGTATTTCAGTGAGTGTACTTCTTCTAATCTGTTATTGTTGAGTGTTCCTCCCTTAGAGTTTGTTTGATCTCTGTGCATTTTAAAAGTGTTTTACATTCTTTTTTAACTGGGCTCTAACCTTCCCTTCTTGACTGTCTCGCTGTTTATTTCATTCACTTTAGTGTGATCTGTCATTTGCACTATGAGCTTGTCTTTGAATAGGGTTCTTGGCTGCCAATGGGCTTGGGCTGCATGGAAGGGCTCACAGAGTGGATATGCGTGGCCTCTGCAGGCTAATGGTGGTCGCAGACACATTTGGGGGTTGGATTCTTAGTTTGGTGCTTCTGTATCACATGGGTGGCATCAAATCATTACACCTATGGATTTTGTTTCCTTGTTGCATTTAACATGTGCCGCAGCCCTCTGGAGTGTGGCTTCTTCAGGGATCTCTGTTCTTGCAATCTTGGTGCCTTGCACTCCCAGCGATCAGGGCTCTTGCATCTGCATCAATCTCCCTGGCCTGGAGCTCCATGATGTCACCTACTGCTAGGTTTCCATTCTTTTGCACTTGGGGGTTTCCTCTTTTCCCTTTGAGGAAGGCCACATGTTACAGTTTTTAAAATCACATTTTATACGGAATTTCTGAATTTGTTTAGTAACCGTAAGTCCAGAAATTGTTGTAATTTCTAAGTGGTTTACTCGTCTATTTTATTTTAAAACCAAGGCCAGCGAAGTGCGAGAAGAGTAGGTATAAGCCTATCATTTTTGTTTTCTGGTTATATTCCTCATCAGAATGTTTCTAAACAAATTTTATTTCCCCCCTTCTCAAATGGTACTGGGGATTAACTCAGGACTTCACACTGAGCTACATCCTCAGCCCTTTCAGCTTTGAGACAGGTTCCAATAAGTCATGAAGTTACCCAAGCGGGGTTTAAATTTGGGATCCGCCTGCCTAGTTTCTCAGAGTGCTGGGTTTACAGGTATGTGCTATTATACCTGGCCAATTTTAATTTTTAACCCTAATATATTGGTACTTCATTTGTATCTTAGTGTGATAAACCTGTAACGCTGTTCATAGTCTTTTTTTAAAGGTATTATATATATATATTGTTCTTTATAACTTTAATTTTGTTAATAAGCTCACTGAAAGACTTGGATAATCATATTCATGTCACCCACTAAAATTACAATTTTTCAATTTGTTCCTTTAGATGTTTTTGCCTCATATAACTTACTACTGTATTATTTGTAAAAGACTCGTATCACGTTTGAAGTAGCTATCGTTATAGCTACTTTAGCTTTGTTAATGGATCTTCAATTAGTCTTTTCTGATTAATAACAGCATATATATATAGTTATACAATGTAATGCAACACTTAGGAAAAATCTTAAGAAAACAAACATGAAAACAAAAACAGACATCTTAGGACTTGGGATGCAGATAGGAAAGAAAGCTGGGAAGGATAATAGACTAAATGTGTTTTATTTTACAGGAAGGCATCAGCAAAGATTACTCTATCCATCAGATCGATAAAAAAATGGAACTATAAATATGCTGCATTTTAAAATTTATTCGTATATTTCTGTTATCCTTGGCTTCTTAGCCATATTATTTATTGAATGGAAATTGAATAAATGAATTAACAAATGAAGGCTAAGAGTTTTCCTCAAATTGTTGCTTTCTCCCTTTGTTAGGATATTTTTAATAACTAGTTTTAGAGTTTAGGAGTATAGTGGGTAGCATACAGTAGGATGAATTCACTGCCTTGGTCTTCTATGAACAGAACCTTGCTGGAAGCATCATGAGGCTTGTGGTTTAAGCCAGCTCTTTAACCTTGTAGCCTTTATTTCCTTTGAGTATGAATGAGGTAAAGATAGTGCATATGTTGGTAAGCATATATTGTGAAAGGAAGACAGAAGGGAGAAAGAGGACTAGCTGGTTTTCAAAGAAATAAAATTGCACAGAAAAATTGCAAAATAGGCCTTTACAACATCACTCTGCAAACCCACAGCTCATCTGCATGCCACAGGGCCTTACGTAATCCTTCTAGCAACTGCCTGTGGTGCTGGCTGTCTCTCCCTTCAGCATTTCCATCGATCTTCACACAGGCTGGGTTTGAAAGCTACCTTGCCTGCAAAGCAAATTAAGCCCTCAGGAGTTTCTGATTAGACTTGGGATTTTGGTTCAGGAGAGGGAATACAGACTGAAATGACATCACAACTGAAAAGGAGGAAGAAAGAATTCTGTAGGGAGTACGCGTCCAACTTTCACACAGAGATTACACAGGAACATTTCCAAATGTTTTCAAATAGCGTGCACCTTTAGGATATGAGAACTTTCCAAATTTTAAGAAAACTAACTGCATGTTTCCATTTTTGTTTGGTATTATGGCAAGACCAGGAATTCCAGATGTTTTGTGAGGATCCACTGCCTTTCTCTCTTTAGATATTCAAGTAGATTTTAAGATATTGAGGAGGAACAAATAAACTCGCATATCTCTCAATTATTCTTTTAAAAAATGGTGTCAAAATCCACTCATTGGGCTCGAAGGAGAGCAGAACTTTGTGAGTGAATTCGTGTCATCCTTGCCTCTCCGTAGCAGGAGGGCCGTGGTAAAATGATAAATCACAGAGAGTGCAGAGTGCTGTGGAAAACGGGCCATCACGGCTATTGTTTATTATTGCAGACATGGAGTCAGTAATTCTCCACACTGTGGATGCCAGATGCAAATAATAACCAGGGCTCCTGGCCCCTGTCCTCTTAAACTCAGCCCCCCGCCTGGACAGCCTCATGAATCACACATGTCTTTCAATTAGGAATTTGCCTGCTGCAAATCGCTCCAGGAGGTTCCAACACTATGACAATTCATTTTTCTCACGAAATTCACTTAGTCTTGCTTCCATATTCCTGTATTTTATGTAAGGTATTCACCACGCTGAGAGTTTCTTGGCTGCTCCAAGCAAGAACCATCCAGATTGAAAAGACAGTTCCAGAATCTACACATGCAAGCCTAATAGTTGGGCTTTGGGTTTATTCATGATTAATACATTTAGAGCATCCCTTTTTCATTTACCTGTGAGACTCTCCAATACTTTAAGAAACCTCAAGCTCCACAAACCCTACCAAATCAGAGTCAATTTGGTGGACAATCAAGGGGACAAGGAAACAAGTTTCCTGTTGCCTTCTATGGGCTAGCACAGGGCTACTGCTTGTGACCATGAAGGTTGTGGGGGTCATTGAGGGTCAGACGCTGCGGTCAAAACTGGGCATCCTCAGGGCTGAGCCCACCCAGAGGAGCACTCTGATTGGAATCATGGTACCATAGGGCTTGCTGACATTTCTCTGTGACTTTCCTGTGTGTGCCTTGCTGGGAGACAGGCTGGGAATGCTCTAGACCTTCGAGCATGCTAAAGAAATCCATCAATTCTGCAAGGACTTACTGAGTGTGACTGAGTCATTGATTTTGAAGCTGCAGAGGACCCTGTCCACGTTTCGGGCATGTCGGAAGCCATTTCCTCTCACGACAACTTGAAATGACTCTGAAAAGAAGAACAGGACTCGTTATATGACCATCAACCTTAGAGTTCCCATTTGCCTCATTTAGAGCATTTGGTAACTATTTTACCAAGGTTAAAATACTCATAAAACTAGATCAGGTTGCAAACAATAAATAACCATGTGTGTTTCCTATACTATTCCTTGCTGACCAATTCTCACTTGCTGTTTATGAGGAGGGCATATTACTTCTTACACTAAATTTCCATTTTCCTACTTTTGTTCTTATGGATCCTCCTACGTAGAATGCCTAATTTCTTTCTCTTTATCCATCCAAATCTTACCCATTTTCTAGATTCAAGTGGTTTAATACAATTGCCAGAAGGAGTCACAGGGAGTAGTTCTTTGGTTTCTTTTCAATCAACTCAATTCTTCATAAATCTGTTTCATATTCCGAAATCTCCTGGGAGGATTTCTTTGGAGTCTAGGGTTTCTCATATTTTTGGAAACTACCATCTTACAGCATCCACAACTGGTGGTGACCATTGTGGTGTGCAATTATGTAATATCAGGAGTTGTTCTTTTATCTTGCCCCCCAAAGAAAAAAACAGTCTTTTGGTTCAGTGGTATTCCTACTTCTGCTGGCATACTAGTTGTATTGTGGGGATAATTAGTTGTTCTGAGCAATGAACAGAAGGCTTGCAAGTCTTGTTTATCAGTGGCCAGTTGTCAAGCATGACCTGCTTAAGCTCATATTAGCCTTTAAATTTAGTATTCATTTCTCTCTGGATAGAAAAGAGACCTTTATATTAATTTCACACTGGATAATGTATGTTCATGTGTATTAACATATGAATAAAATCCATACAAAGTTAAAACACCATTCTTTACCATAGCCCTGCCAAGGGATAAAACCAACTAATCAATTAGCTAACTGCTTAGAAATATGCTTAAGTGTAATACTATCTAGAGGTCAATGTTCTACTGTCTTATTTTATCGCCCTTGTATGTATAAAAATTGGGGCCACATAATAACATTATGTGGAACATAAAAAATGGCATTAGACTAAAAGTCAGACAAAGAAAATGCAACATTTGTGAAAGTGGGTCTTAAACCATAATGCTTTGTTGGAGAAGAGGCATATGTGCCTCTTTTAAAGTTGAAATGTTACAAGTCTCTGTCACTTTCATTCTCAAGAATCTAATTTAGAGGTCGTGTTTGCCAAGATTATAATAACTGGTGGGTAATTGCTCCCTTATATGCTGGCCCAGGGCTAAATGCTTACATGTCTGATGTCATCTCCGCCTCCTACAGTCCAGGGAGGTACAAATGAGAGACTGACCTTCGTGTGGTTAAGTAGTGTAATTTGTCCACAGTCACACAGACAGTAATTGTCAGCAGCAGCACCCAGTATCCAGGTCTGCTAGGCACCAAATACCACGCTCTTAGGACTCAGCCATTATCCTTTAACTTATGCTAAAATGGATGTTCATTGACTTGTGACGGACTAATTTAAAAGTTGGAATTGTGATCTTTTTAAAAGTTCATTTTAGTTTCAGGCAGGTTTGTGCATTTTGCAGAAAATGAACAAACTGGCCACTGACTGGGATATAAGAAAAAGAACCTAGAGGTACTGCATATATCATGAAGAGTATAAATAAGAAAGGGATGCTTTTAGAAGTATAAAGAGTGGAATTGAAGTGATGGCATTTTTATGATTTACCCTGAGTCATATAATTAGTAAAGAGCAAAACTAAGACTTGTATTCAAGGGTTCAGTACCTTAGTTTTGAATTACAGTAACTAAAGTCATGGAATGATATTTTTCAGTACAATAAATCTTATGAATAATAAAGATTTATGCCTGAATATTGGTACTGGGTAGAAAGATAGCTTTAGTACTTTTTGTTTATGTGCCTGCCAGCATGTGGCTGATAACCCAGTAGGTTCAACATATATTTTATTAAGTGTTAAGCATTATGCAAGAATCTTATTTGCTCAGTCAAACTCATAGAAACCAATTGGTTTCCAGTTTGAAAGCCAGACATCCAGACATCTGTTGTGCACATTTTTGACAATTCCAGTTGTTTGCTGCTGCGCCTACTTCTCATTTACTCAAAGATCATCACAGTAAGAGAAGACTCTGAAAGTGCAGGCTGCATGCCAAGCTCTCTTCTTTAACACTACGTTGCAGCATTCAGCTGCTGAATTCTCTCTAAAAGCAGCTGCACGCATGTCTGCTTGGCCCAGCCTCAAGGAGTTTGGGCAGGAAGATAGCAAGAATCGCTGATATGGCCATGGTGGAAACCAGGCAATGCAATTCCCTAGGCCAGGAGAAAAGATGGAAGAGAGGATGCTCTGGGATGCAAGGGAAACAGAGGCACGTGCCAGCCTCCTTGGTACAGTTTCTGTGTTAGTGCACATGTTTGGTTTCCAGAAGAGCCCAAACGTTGGATCCAGCAGCCTGACTGTAATGTCAGCTCTTTGAACTAAAAAGTTACATAACAAAATGCTGCTGAATGAATCTGCTAGTGTAGACCAGGACATCCTAGAACAAGAACGCACGCTTTAACTCCATTTGTCAACAAAGCCCTGGGCCTGCCTTTCAAAACGTGTACAGTTCAATGCTTTTAGGTAATTTGAACACTGATGACAAAGCTCTTTCAAGAAATGTTTAGGGATTGTAAGGCTTTAGGGAAACCTAGGTATTTGCTTGAAAGAGTTAAAAACATCATACTACAGTGATACAAGTATGCCCATGTTTACAGCAGCACTGCCCATAAGAGCTAAATCTTGGAAGCAATCTAAATGCCCATCAGCAAATGAATGGATAAAGAAAGCATGGTGTTTATACACAATGGAGTGTTTATACACTCTGTCATAAATTAGTGTAAACTTCAGACACTTGTAGGAAAATGGGTGTGTCTTGAGACCATAACTTTAAGCAAAATAAATCAGAAACACAAGCTTAAAGACTGCATAGTTTCTCTGGTATGACAAACACAAAACATAAGTAATTAAAGAGCAGAATAAAAGATAAATAGGGAATAGTGAGATCTTTTGCAAAAGGTTAGGGGACCAGATGTGGGGAAGGAAAGGGGATAAAAAAGGGAATTAAGATGTGTTCAGTACACCTATCAACTCCCCACAAAGAATGTAATCATTACGCATTGCAAACATATACCAATAATATAAAATGTGCATTATAAAGGGAGGGGTTTTGTACTGGCAAATTGTCTTTGATTCAACTTTTGAAGATATATATCCTTTAAAGGTATCTTTAAAGTATAAGTTTATTATGTTTTTTTTATTACTTTTATTCTCAGGTACAGTTTATGAATCCTGATGACGTGAGCTAGTATTTCCATCTTTTCCTGAATGCTTGGCTGTGCCTATCCCAGTGCTGAGCTGACCTCAGTAGAAGCTAATGGAATTAACATGTAAATAATACGTCTTGGCATAGGAAGGGAGTAAAGGGCAAAGACAGGTGGTCTCAGGTGCCAGTGAGGTCTGATCCTGTTTATTTTCTGAGGACGGAAAATGAGAAGATAATCTATAACACTACTTAGAGAAATTTAATTTTTAAAAAAGCAGTGTGGATCAAAAAGGTCTATGAGGACCAGATAGAGCTTGCTACTTCAAAAGCTCTAAGGGTGGAGGCATTCTGGGAAGGTTTCTTTTCCCTAGATAGTTTCACCAATGACACTGAATGGAATTCTTTTTGATCAGAGCTGATTAGATATTCTCTCCACTGTTTTTTTCTAGTAGAACTTTCTCTTAAAATGAAAAATAGTCTCAGGGGTATTTGTTTTTTCAGTCATTGAAAAATAACCAGCCATTAATATCTTAGTCCAAACTGAATGAAATCTTTGGACACTTCAAGTTGTTAGAACAGACACAGAGGAGGTTTTCTCCAGATAGCATCTGATTACAAATTGTCATTCTACCACTGTTCACATAATTTCTAGGGGTGGAGACCTCAAGCCACCCACTCCATTGTTAGAAAACTTTAGTTGATTATAATAAGCCAAAATGTGACACACTGAAATTCTCTTTAGTAGCCTCCTGAAGCTATGCAGTATAGGCCTCAAAATTCGTTTTTATATGGTAATCCATCAAATGTCTGGTGGTACATTTGTGATTGTCTCAATTCTTTGTCTAAATCACTATTTTAGTCTTTTCTCTTCAGCAAGCATCTTCTCATTGCTCAGAGCATATCTTCGTTATAGTGCTCAATACATAGTTTTGTAATTTATTCAAACAAAACTATCATTTTGAGCAGACTGAGTTTCATAAGAGACTGGGAACAAGCCATATAAATTTTTGCACTTACAGATTTTGCATTGTGTGGTACATAGTTGATACTAATAATTGATGGGAAGAGAAAGGAAGGAAAGGCAAAGAAAGAAAAGACAAGAGAAAGACAAGGAAAAAAGCAAATGAAGGATGGAAAGAAGGAAGGAAGGAAAGAAAGGAAGAAGAAAAGATAAAAAGGAGAGGCAGAAAGGAAGGGAAATAAAGGATCTGTGAATGAATTACTAAAATGGTTTCCAGATTCATCACTTTTTCTCCTATGGGCATGCCTTTATCACTCCAGTTCTTAAAATGTGGGACTTTACACCACGGTCTGAATGTGGGATAGAAGGAATATCAGCTCTCTTGACCTGTACCTGGATGGCTATAGAGGTATCAGCAAGTATTGTAGCAAGCATGCTTGCCAGCTACTAAGATAGCCATCATTATCCTCATGTTTTTCTTCTCCCTACACAAACTGTTCCTAAGTAAAGTTTCCCTAAATCCTCTTGTATGTGAAACTGGCTATTTGAGACTGAGTTCAACATTTTCTGTCCGTCTCATTAAATTCTACCTTCCTTGCAATCTAACATATAGAAAGACTTGTGTATGACTTTATGTTTTGCTGTCCACCCAGGGCACTATCTCACTGCCTCTTGTAGAGCTCAGCTGGCCATCAGAACCATTGCTGGTGTAGAGTTGTGGTGAGAGCCAGCTGAAGTCACTGGCTTGGGGAAATGCAATCAGCGTAGAACGCCTTGAGCAGGTGGGGTCCTCCAGTTGGCATAGGAAGGGAGTAAAGGGGTGCTCTGGGGGCCAGGGAAGGAAAGTAAATCACAACATGAGGGGACAGATCTCAGAGACAATGTTTTTGATGAAAAAGAAGTCTGTCTTCTTCCTAGATCATTCTAGAGCTTGGTCTGACCATTATAATTTAGAAATGGGGACAGTTATTTCCTTATTTACTTTCTTCCTCAACACATACTGAGTTAGTTACTTTGCAGAGTCTCCAAACTCTATCAATATCCTCCCCAAATGTCTTTCAGGGGAGAAACACGCAAGCATGCATTTCTCATCCAGATATGACATTATTGGCCTCATGATTCAACACTGACCTTTAATCTTCATTAAAATGATGCTGACGACAATAACGCCATCTCATTTTGTACAACAGTTTATGCATTTGGAAGCACTTTTATTTACATTCCTGGTAAGCCCTAGATCCTCAAGTAGCCTAATGAAAATCATAGGGATCATGGCTCACTCTATCCCATAGGCACTCAGAGCCATGGGGGAGGAAACGGGCTCCAGCTCTTCATGAGGCCATGCGTGCTCCAGAGAATCATCCAAAGCAGACTGTGAGGGGAGTCTGCGGAAGAACTTCTGATGCAAGGCTGTCTTTGAACATTTCACTTTCTTCTTAGTAAAGTTATTCTGCAATTAGTACGTTATGATCCTTAAGGTTTTGATTTAAGGAGGATCTTGCCTTTTTCAAAACCTAGGACTAGCTCCCATCACTGCTTCCTGTGCTGTGTATTCATAGAGAAATAAAGGAAATATAATTGGATACTTTGCTTTGAAACAAAAAATATCATTTGTCTATAAATATGTGAAACTACACATTTTTTAAATATTAAAAGAAAGATCTCTTAGGTTGGATTCATCAGTAATTTGTCTATGTATTGATTCTACTAAAGCAATAGCCCTTGGAAGCAATAGCTCTTTATCAGATGAACTGCTTTGATTTGTTTAAATTTATTAATGCATTTTATCTTCTTTTCCTTAGGTTTTAAAAAAATCTTTCACTAATTTTTATTAGTTTTCATTTGACAAGAAATATACTAAGAATCTGAATTTGCTAGGATCAAGTGTTGGTTTTGATATTTCTGTGCCATGTTTGTTAACTTTACATATCATATGTTTTTATTGTCTTGAGTATCAATGGTAAGTGGAGGAGATTTTGGTTTACTTGTTGAGTCTAGGATTATTGAGGAAGGCATCTTTCTACTGCGTGGTTACAATATTTTTTTCTATCTTTGGTTACTAAATTCTAATTGTGTTTTATTTTAATTAGGCAGCACAAAGGTACATTAACCTCATATGGTTAATGTAAGGAATTAACACAAGTCAGAAAAGAAAAAGAGTCAAGGTCACTGTTTTGAAGGAATACAGGAATCAGGACATTCAGTCCACTTTTACTGACCACTTGTTAAGTACCAGACAATCTGCAGAGTACAGAGAAATAATATTCCTTTTGTGTCTTTAAGAAGCATGAAGGGAGTGAACTGATTATGCTAGTGAGCTAGAAATTGTGCTCATTGTTTTCAGACTTTCTGAAAGGTGCATTACAGGATTACAACATATCCGGAAAAATCACTAAACAGAATGCCTGAGTTTTCATCATGAATAGGACAATCACAACTTGTTTTCTAAATGCTTTACTATTAGGGAACTATAAAGTTTACACACACACACACACACTATACAAAATTAAATTAATCTAAATAATCCACCCGTATACCCTACCAGAAGCACAATAAGCCCTGAGGTGATCTATTTTAAACTGAACCAAGCACCTCCTTTTGGACTCGCCTGTTTTTCAGTGTCTCTTTTATTTTATTTTTTAATTTCAAAGAGGATAAAACAGAATAAAACCAATCAAAACAAACCAGTATAAAAGATACATACAGGACTTCAAAACATTACAAAATCAGCAATAGCTACCATAATGCCTTTTGATGCCTTCAAAACAGTGGCAGATGACTTTGGACATACATAGTAAAAATCAAACAGAACAGAACAGAATATAAGCAATAAAAACAAAACAATAAATTTAATAAAGGACTTCAAAACAAGCCACTAGTAAATTCAAAAGTTCTACCATAATATATCTTGCTATCTTTGAAACAGCTGCTCCTACTATAGAATTCAACATAATCAAAACAAACAAAAGAGAGCAAAATCCAACCCAACAAAACAATGGAAACCATATAAGACTTCAAAACAAGACTATAAGGAATCACAATGGCTACAATCCTTAGAAGGAGATCCCCCTAGGTGTAACTGTGTACTTCTATCTCTGAACCTATGATCAGACCACTGGCCATAGACCTGCAATGTTAGTGAAACACCAAATCACCACAGGCATTCAATTGTGCTATCATCACAGCCTGTGTTTCTCTGGATAAGCCTGTTGTTTACAGCGGAGGGGAGTGTGGGTGGGGACTGGTACTTCTTGTTTGCCAGCCCATGTGCCAGAAGGGGCTGGGGTCTGTCTGTTCCAGTCCACTGGGGGCCTGCACATGGCACAGGTGCCCAGACTGGACTTGCTTGCTGGTGTGGCTTTGTTCTTTCTACCTCCAGTCTGCAAATGGCCTCAAGGTCTCTTTTAACCTTTGAACTTCTGGCCCTAGTTATATTCCCTGAAATAGCTGGGTACATATTTCACTCAGCCATATCAAATGATGGATTCCTTTGATTGTAAATTATATCCACACCTCAATGCACAGGTCCTGATAAGGCTCTGCCACTGTGCTCAGATGCTCATAAGTTTCTGTCAAATTTATAGAGGTTTAAATTATTTTTTCTTTAAGAGATTCTCTAGTTCAATCCTTGTGGCAAATACATTTGCCCCTATAATGTCTGTATTGCCAGAAAACTATTTATTTAAACATCAGTAGGTAGTTTTTTTATTGTTTTTGGTGAGGAAATGAACACACATTTCTGAATAGTCACCAAATGTTTTGGTAACTTTATATGCAAGTGTGTATATGTATTTATGTATGCATGTATATATCAATGTAATTAGATACAAAGTATTGATAACACATGTATATATATATATATATAATGTTTTGATATTGACATGGATTATTAGTGTCTAATTTCTTGCAAGTCTTTCAGTTGTTCTAAAATATAGCCGAGAAACAAGAAAGAAATTTCCAAGAAATTCTCTTATTTATGACAGTAAAGTATGCCAAAGACACCGAAAGCCCCAAAAGTTCTTCCTTCAATGCTTACTGACTTATCAGGATTGCATAATATATTTTTTGCTGGTAACAAATGACTGGTTCTTGGTATTTGGGGGTACTAGAAAGGTGGTGTCAACAGGGTACTCTCAACAGTGACTGACTCTAGGCAGCAAAAGGACTCACTCAGAGTTTATCTTTTTCCTAACTCCAGCACTCAGTATAGTGTCTGGTGTGCAGTAGCTTTTTAAAAAAATATGTTTTACATGAATGAAAGAAAAGTAATGGGAAATCTGCAGAATTATCTGAAGAAAGCAGCATGGTTTAAGTTTTAGACGCTCATTACAATATGAAACAAGATTAAAGACCCTCTTTTTAAATTATGACTCACAGAGGCCTTCTTTGTATAATGGAGACTATTTGTAATAATGACAAGGACAACTGAAGCTGAAGGTCATGACTTTATGAGGTTGGTAGACTGAACAATTAGGAACAATATATTACTTATGGAGCAAGGCCAGTACCAACCATACTGCAAGCCTATGGGGCAGTCTGTGGTCCTGGTGGTCTGTGGCCACTATGGTCATCTGGTATCTGTAGGCTTTTGGGAAGACGTAGGATGATTCTATTTGTATCCAAAAGCAGGGTGGTGGTAGTGATCACTTTTTAGTATTGGTATGACAATCCAGTATTCTGGCAATTTCTTTGTAAGTAGGTCCCATAAAAGGAGGCAATTGGGACAAACTTTTTCAAACAGCTAACATTGTTTCTTTCTCTTTTTTTTCCCCTAGAAGCAAATTTAGTTAGCAATTTTTGCTCCTTTTCCCATCCACTCTCTTTCTGCCCTGCCTCTCTCATTCCCCCTGCAATGAAGGAAATGTGATTTGAACTCAGAATATCATCAAGTGCACGAAAGCAATTAGCACTTGACTTTGACTTACCTCCTGCACATATGGTGGATGGCTCAGCTGCTAGAATTTCAATGCACGATTTCTTCAAAATCTAAAAGGAGAAAAAAATAATCTAGTCAACATCCAGCTTATTTTGTTAAAAGACCATTAAAACAGTGCTTTCAGCTACTGCGATAGGAAAGTTCAAGAACAATAGGTGCAGTGGGGCTTGGAGGGAGAGTAAGATCTGTACTATCATCACGGATGGCAAACAGTTAAGAAGCCAGATTATGTTATGCACTGTTGTGTCCTTGAAAAGCCCTAAGACTAGTTCGCTCATTTATCTCCCAGGGGATACAAGAGCCAATGATTTACCAGTCCTAGATTTAGAGAGGTTTAATGCAGAGCTGCAAAAATGTGCCTTCTGTGTGACATGATAAATAATAGTGGCTAATCATATGTGGTGGGAGCAAGCAAAGAAGGTGTAGTAGAAGCTATGAAGTTCATGGGAGAGAGATTCCGGGGCAGCTGTACTGCAAAGGGCTTCTCAAAGAAGGCAGGAGCTGAGACCAGCGTCAAATGGGGAGGAACGGCTCAGGGGCAGTTTAGGCCCAGGTATGGACTCGCGAGAGAAAAGATGAAAAAGTAGCAATACACAATGTGCCAGCTGACACCGAAAGAGCTCCCAAAGTAGAAACGGAAGTCACAGTGGATGGGTGGAAATGGCCAGCTTGCCATCGGTGCTGCATAGTCAGGTTTCTCAGAGCTCATTCGTTGCTTGCAGAGTCTGGAAAGTGGGCTTTGTAGCCTGCCATGTTGTCCCTCACTCTTTAGAAGGATTCTCTGAACCTCACTTCAACTGAAATGTATTCTCATCTACAAATTCATCTGGTAGGACAAAGTGGGAGTCTGGGGAAACCCTATCACCTCACAGGAAGTGACTCATGAAGGCTGGGCAGAGCATGGTATTTGACCGATAGAATTTGTTTCTCTCCACCATTTATAAATTCTTCCTCTCGTTACATACTTACTATAAAATTTGAAGCAGATATTTTAAACAAATATGGGAGATTGAGTTAACTTACAAATCAAATGAGGTGTCTTTTCTTGGGCTTTCATTTGAAATTTGAGATGGTTTAAGGGGCTAACGGAAATCATTTCTTTATTCATGAAAGGGTATTTGGTAATGCAACTAATGATGAAATTATACACCTTAAAGTCTGCAAAAGGAGAAATCATCTTTTAGCACTGGGAAACAATTCGATATACTTCTTGTTCAGTTTAAGTAACACATATGCCATAAAGTAAAAAATGCTATAAATTATAACAAAATATAGATTCAAGGGCAAACAACAGAAAGGTGATGCAAGGAATGAGAATGCTACATCAAAAATATGCTATGAGGAGCTTATTTTTTACTAGGCGTGAACTTAGTTCTAAGCTTTCTAGTAGCAAGTGAAAAGGACAGACAACATTTATGAATTTCTCAATCTTTGGAATAAAAACAAACCAGTTTCTCAGAAAAGATAATATTTACCCATTCCGAGGAAATTCTGGGCATCCTCATACAGAAGCATTGTAAAAGGAAATGAATAACAAGCTTAAGAAAAACCTCTATCCGATGTGTAGATGACAAAACATTAGAAGTTATTAAATTAAGTGCCCTCACAAACATGTTCTTTAGGTAACTCTATATTCCTGAAAGGTACAAGTAAGTAGCATTTCTTTCTTTGGCTTCTTCAGCTTAAAACATATATATGCATAATTCAATCACATAAAAGATGTAATCCTTGCCTGTGACCGAGTCTATCAGATAGCAGCACGAATGTTCTGGACTTGACTTCTCTTGCACATCTCTGTTGGAGTCAGTGGTCCTCACACATCTGGCTTTGGGCACCTAGCATCAGTACTGTGCACCTGCTTCTCCTTCATTGTCACTCTGACTTAGCAAAAGGAATGCCATGATTATCTCCAGAGCACTAATTTTTCCCTGCTGGCATCTCCATCCTTTCCATTTTTAGTGGTCTATCCAGTCTTTCTAGACTCTTAAGCCTGTAGCAATATCCCTGAACATAGGCTTGCCAGGGTACTGGTACAAAACAACTCATCTCCCAGGTGACAGTTACCCTACTTGAGTGAAGACTGGCCCCCCAATCATCCCTCAGTGTGCTGCTGTTGGGCTTTTATTCCTCATGGCCACCTTGGCCATGGTTACTGTGACTGAGGGGACACAACCACCCCTTTTGATATATCCTTAGATGTAAGACTCCAAATATCTTACATCTGAAGAAACTGAATGAACTCAGAGGAAGAACCTCAGCAACAGTGTTATTAGAATGACACAAAGCTGTTTTGTTTTCCCCAGTCATTTGACATCTCTTAATAAATAATTTTAGCACGCACAACTAAAGATTTCATAATAGTCTTAGAATAAAAACTAAGCTATTGGATGTATCCTGACCCTGTTTTCCCAAACACATACCCAACATTTTCACTCATGTAAATTCTTGAGTTTAAATCGTATTTTTGAACCTACTCAACATTTAACCTAGGGTCGGTAAAAAAGATACTCGTGAATCTTTGACACAAAGACACAATAGTGGGTTTTACCGTAATAAACCCACACGCTCTAATTCTCTGAAAATATCTGCAATTAGCAGATAAATTTAAGGAGTGCATAAAGGGCCAAAAAACTGTCAGCCAAATGCCGTGATTCAATCGGGTAAAAACACCACTTTCTCAATCTTAATTTAAAACATCTGGAAGGGATGCATTACAGCCCATAGAGTAAAATTTATCAGTAAGGGGGATGGGTAGGATTGTCTGAGATTGTGTCTCCTTTTAGTTTGAAATGTCTGTTTTCAAAAGGTAGGAAGTCATAATGGTACTGAATTCATGGGTGGGCAGGGAGGGGAGTTTGCCTTACTTAGCAGCAGCCCAGACTACAGGGTCATCTGTCTGAACTGCAGCAGACTGCAGATCCCCAGCAGGTCAGGGCTGTAGGAGTGAGGAGGTAGAGGACCCCCTTCCTGCCAGGCAACAGTAGCCATGAGAAGGTGCAGACACAGTACTGGGGGAAGATACAGCACTATAGCTAAATCACTGGATGGAGAGGAAACACTGTGTGTGAGGTTGGGGTGAGGTCAGAGGGGGAGGGAAAGGTGTAACTGGCCCGTAGGAGGCCAGCATCTCCACAGGCTTATGGTATAAGCTAATGTGAAGAGTTGGATCTTAGTCCTGGCCTTTTACCCACCTAACCTATGATCTTTGGTGAATCTTTGCATTTTCTGAAAACCCTAGTTTTGGGACCATTTAATGCATAGAGTAATAACTCAGAGTTTAGAATCAAGTAGTTTGGGTCGGGTCATTCTTGAGTAGTCCATGAAGGGCAGGTTCCATGATCTTCCTTGAGTGCCTCGCATGTGAAAGTGGGATAACAATATGCCACGAGAGCACTAGCTTAAAAGGTGTTATGTTGGGAAGATAAAAGAGATCAGGAAGGCGGAGCGTAACACAGAGTCTGGAGCCTGATACATCTTTAACAAAAGATAGTTGTAACCCAGAATTTGGGCTCTGATAAGACAGGTTTGACTCTGAATGGATTTATGTTCAAGTCCAAGCTCCACTACTTACGGGCCTCTTGAAGTTGCATAAATCATTGACTCCCAGAATCTCAGTTTTCTATTCTGTATGGTGGGTAAGAAAAACACTGACTTCAACAGGCTGTATAATAATTCGATAAAATAAAAGATACCAGTCCAGTTTTTGCTTTGTAAAATCACTTGAACTGGGGCTGGAGATTTAGCTCAGCGGCATAAGTACCTGCCTTGCAAGCAGGCGGTCGTGAGTTCGATCCCCAGTACCGATAAAAATGAAAAAAGACAAAAAAAAAAAAAAAAAAAAATCACTTGAACTTTGTTGATAAAATTTATATTGGATGGGAAGTGAGGGAGAGTGAGATCAAGGAAAGCTACAAGGTTTTTGTCTTATAGATAGACCTAGACAGATGTGCTTGATCGATATTTAACCCCTGGGACATCAGCCAGCATGTATACTGCATGAAAATCAGGCACCAAATGTGTCCAGAAGAATCTTGTCCATTAAGTACTTAGGATGTCTGACACAGATTCAAACGACGGTAGCTGTGTGTTGTTATTACTACCACTGCTGTGACCCTTGGACAAGGATCGAAGTTTGTATATGTTTCAATCTCATTATTGGCCTTGTGCTAAATTATATTTTCTGAAACTGAACTAAGGCTAATACTCTTTTCTTGCCAACCTTTGGACAGATTTAAAGAGAAAAGAGATGAGAAATCAAGTTTGAAACACATAAAGAACTAAATAAATGTAATGTGTTGTTACTGGTAGGTTTACTCTTGCAAACCTCGTTGGAGAGCAGATGGAAAAGAATTCTGCCAAGTTATAAGAGTTATTTAGTGTACTTACAGTGAAATCCATGGTGAAATAGTCCAGGCTGCATATGAGTTTGGATTTTTGAATTCTAAAATGTCTAACATCCTTTCTCATAAAGTTTCAGTTTATACAGAGATTTCTCAGGAACCCTTAAACAATTGTCAATATTTGCACAGAATTATTAGGAACCTCTCCCCTACACCAGACATGCCTATTTCTTACAAACCACTCTTCCTCTTTTCCAAATACAAAGGAATTTGTTTAGCTGGCTACTTTTCCTAAAGAATGTTTTGGTGTGTGTTAATAATGGACAAGTCTCTTTTGTGCATTTATAGTGCATTCACTTGTTAGAAAGTTCTTCAGAGCATGTTCATGGTGTCTTATATGCTGTGCATGGAAGATTCCATTTTTAAAATATCTGTAGGCTAGTAGCAGAATTCAAGTCAAAAAATATCTTTGAAACTCCATCTTATTTCAGTACAAATGACTATCATCAAGAACACCAAAAACAATGAATGTTGTAAGAGGTTGTAGTGGGAGGGCCCCTACACTGGAGACAGGAAACTAGTACGATCATTGTGGAATCAGTATGGAACTCCCATAAAACTTGAAACCGAAATACCATTTGACCCAACTCTACTTCTCCTCGATGTACCCTTCAAAGTAATGGCATCAAATTGTAGTGATCCATGTATAC